ACGCACGTCCTTAAATTAGGGAATGAACTGGCGCTCCCCGGGGGCGGTTCAGGAAAAGAGGAAGGCGTGTTCCGGCGCATTTTAATCGTTCCGTGGTGTGCTATTTTGCTGTTTCAGGAAAACAATTCCGCCACAGACAGGAAAAACTAGGCTGTCTAAAGTCAGTCGCTGGCTATTCAATGCTATTTAAGGGCGAACTTGACGGGGAGCAGTGCGAGGCCGCTAGGTCAGACAGGGGTCAGTCAGCGGCCTGAGAGGCCGGCAGCACATCGCACCCGTCAACACGGGCCTTTAAATACTTTGGTCTGGATCCTCTGCCACCTGCTGTTTGCTGCTCCCCCCTCCTCAGCTGGCCCGTGCGCACTGCCTCCGAGGCCAGGGTCTTCTTCCCTGCGAAGCTGCGTTACATTGTTTTGGATTTATTGTATGGGCTGGCAAATCCGCCGTTATAATAGCAATCCGCCAATGGAAGAAGGCGCGCCTGCTTTTAAAGGGAATGTGAGATGACGCCTCTGATTGTAGCTAATGTAGCTACTTCAGACCAAACCCATTTTTAGATTGCGCCGGGCGCAAGAGTCATTTAACCCGCCGGCATAATACCAACAGCGCCTGAGATCCCCCACAAAGCTACTTGCCGTTTTGCGTTTGACCACCCTTGCTTTCAGATCGGCAAGAATAGGGCCCCCATATCTACATCTAGCACCTTGAAATGTTGATTATGCCTGGGTCTCCTACCCGTTTCTCCCTAATTGGCGAGTCAAGAGCCCTGTGTGAAGCTACCACCAATCCCTATGCTGTGGTAAAATGAAAGCACGCAGCATCCCAAGCCCCGAGGCTGGCTGGAAATCCAACCTTGTGAGATGGAGGAATAATTACCAGTGACTGACAGGGTAAAAAATATAAGCTTGGGACTCAGCATGCGACAAAATAGATGTTCTGCTCTGAAGTCAAAGCCCATCAGATTGCTACCAGCTGCTTCAGCTTAGCACTTCAATCTAGTCAGATATGTCCTTCCGACTCAGAGGAGATAAGCGTTTATTTCCTGTGGTCTAAAAAATACTCCCCCGATGTGCAGTGGAAATAAAGAATTGGCCTTCACAACATGTTGAGCACACTGGCCCCTGCTGATGCCCTGCTCATGCCCCCACCCGAAACCCACTCATTACCCATTGCGTCAATTCAAACAACTTATGGTGTTGGAAAACAGTCGGCTTCTAATTTCTGAAAAGTTTTACCCTCTGACAGTTTGTCCTAATCAGATCTGCTTTTATAACCAGGATGTTTTTGTGACTGGCTTTCCACCAATGTTTCCTGCAAATAGGGCCTTCTGAGCTAAGGGAGGAGGGAAAATTCCAATGTGCGTCGAATGCAAAATAGGAATTATACAAGCGCCAGTGTACAAAGTCAATTGCGCTGAGTGCAAGATAGAGCCCATGGTCGTAAATGACAAAGGAGGCCGGATGACAGTACCACAAATAAGACATGAAGAAAATAACGGGAAGTCTGCCACACTGGTTGTGATTCACCAGACCTATAGTGTGTTGAAACTTTTTTGGGGGGAAAATCTTTACAAATTATTAAAAACTTATTAGTTGGCAGAAAGAGAGTTTCCTATATTTTGACAGGGTGAAGATTTGGGCTTATGTGGGCCACCATGATAATCCCTCTTTGGATATTGTAATTCGGGAAAAGATTTCTATAAAACTATCAGATACTGAGTCATTAGTGGCACAAGGTGATGTGCTTCTTTACATTTTTCAGAGGAGACTAGCGAACCTCCGTGGTGTGATTTTTCTTTATTTTTTTTAAACAGTTATATTGTGTTTACAATAAAGCATCTCATAGAGGAAAGCAAGGACCAAGATATGGTTTGTATAGGAGAGTGAAAACCATTCAGATGGACAGAAAACGAAAAACAAAAGTGAAAATTATAGGGAACAAGTTAAAGCCTGTCATGGTTTTCTGTTTGCCCTTCCTCTCTTCTCTCTGCTTGGAGACATCTTTCTTTGACACAGAGACTGTATCCAGGCTCAGTCATTTTTCCTGGGAAAAGGTGTTGTTTTAAAGGAAGCAAGGGAGGACTATGGTGCATTGTAGAGCAAAGTCAAGTAGAGTCATTGTCTGCCTGCTGTAGGTTAAGTTTGTCACAACACCATCATTTTACACTTCGATACAGCACCCTTCTATACCTCTTTAGATACTGTGGCAAATGAAAAACAAAGGCACACAAAATAAGAGAATCCTCGACCGTTGGCCAGTCAGTTTTCCTCCCCGTTCTTTCTGCTGTGCAGCCTTGGGTTAGAAAATCTGATTGTAGATCTGTTTTCTATAGCTTCGGTACTTTCTATATTATTGAAAGACCGTATCATTATCACAGTATAGATACTTTTGACAACCTTACCATAAGTTGGTTAGCCAACCCCTTCTCAGGATTTCTAATAGTTGCAAACTCAGCCACTTGGTGCAGGTTCATAATGTTGTCCAATGATCCCACTCCTGTCACTTTCATCTTATTTACAGTTTATCTGCGAGGCACAGTCTGAAAAATGCAGTTTCACAGATGATGGGATTTATTCACCAAGCCAATACAGTTACTAAATCATTGCACATGCATCATTTAACTTAGTTTTTTAGTAGTTTTAATCTAGTGAATTATTAGGTACATACTTTACACAACTTTACCTGCTCACACTTCTCTTTTTACCAGGGTGTAACCACTACCGATATAGTCTGAACAAGGTAAATGTAGGACATTTTAGGACATTTTGCTGTTTTACACCATAATAACGAAATGTGTTGTAACAGTAATTCCACTTCTTTTGACAGGTACTAGTAATATAACGAATTACGTTTTCAAATTCAATAATGCACTTAAAGGTGCTGAAATTTAAATGATGGACAACTGCAAAAGACGGCAGACAAAAGCAGAACATCTGAGCGTGACCTGACCTTCCGGTGGCTGAAGACAGTTTTATTATTTATTAACTAACTAACTACTGTAGCAAAGCTCGGTTATGTTTACATCCACATAGTTCTTCATATACTAAATCCTCCTGTCTACTAACCAAGACAATCAGTATAGCTTACAGGTAGGAACACCTCTAGTTGCTGGCCTGGTTGGGAGTATATATTTGTCTTGGCCCATAGCAACACTGAAATAATATAGCTGTGTGTATTAATAGGAGAATTGAAGTAGACATTTAAAATACACACAAGTCATTTCACCTAGTAACTCATTGCTTTTATATGCAGTAATGAATTCAGTTACTTCTCAGAGAAGTAATTGTAACTAATACTAAAACTAAGACTGCCAATATAAACTGTTCTGCCAGAGGAACTAAACATCCCCATTAATAGATGATATCAAACAGTTTTTTATAGTATTCAGGGCTCCTAATTATTACTGGGTATTGAAGTGATAGCAGGTGTAGCTGGCAGCTCCACGTACACTCAGTGCAGAGTGTGGTCAAACCCAGTGGACTGCTGTTCCATACGCAGGTGGCAGCACACTAGGTGAGCTATTCACGTAATTGTCCTTGTGGCCTGTATTTGACTTTTGCTTAGATTGTACAGCAGCCTTTGACAGGCGCAGAAAGAGGAGAGCAAAGAGTCAGAGGCCTGGTAAGTGATGAGGTTAGACGGACAGCTTTGTGGAGTCTAGTTTGCCTTTGACAGTCTGCCAGTAATTATGAACTCCTTGTTCTAAGTGGGCTCAGTTTTGGACGTTGCTGTAATTAAGGTCAAGGTCTGCTGCGAGTCTCTACTTGGGTGCTCTCGTCCTCGAGATAACAATTCCCATAAGCTCCACCGTCCTGTTCTTTTCTCCGCCTGCTTTTTCAATCAACACAATCTTCCCCTTTCTCTTCATGTGTTTCTGTCTGTGGCTCGCCTCCGTGTGTGCGGATGTTTCTGTCTTCCTGCTCTCTATTCCCTGTTGACTCACCAAAATGCATTTACACGCCTCAATTAATTAATTATTCACCGGCTCGCTTCTGCAATCCCACACCCTCCTCCTTCTGAGCTTTGTTTGCTTTTGTCATCCTCAAATTTAATTTCTAGGGATTAGACTGGAAATAAAATGTTTGTTTTACAGCCCTGCCACACACCACCCCTCCTCTGCCACGGCCACTACAACCCCAATCAACAAAAGTAGAAACAAGTGCACTGTAGCTGTAGTATCTGTCACAGCGTGACGTGTGGATGGTGATCGTGTGGACAAACAGAACACTATGTTCCTTCGTTTCCTGTCATTACTGTATAAACCATAAGGAGCGCGCACACACACAAACACTCTTCACACACATCACTGACGCTGAGCTGCGTCAGAACTGGGGTTTAGCCAACTCACTGCCTGTTGATTTCCATTGTTTAAATGTGGAGGAATATAGAAATTATCCATGCCTATTTCGATGCAGTTTTCTCTCTCCTGGTCTCTTTCACACACTAACACTTTCTCTGGCTCGTGGGTTGGTGGGATCTCTCACACCTGAGGGCACACAGCCTCTTATGAGAATGTGTGGACCAGCTATTACACACTGCTGTGAGTGTGTGTGACCTGTAGTGGAAGGAAATGTAAGAGTAGGCAGCCCTGTGTGACAAGTACTACACTGCTTCTCTCTAGAGGTCCAAAGGGAACGAGGAAGAGAGTGATGGGACAAGGCAGCCATTTGTAGGAAAGCAAGTGTTGGTTAGAGTATCACATATACTTAGAGTTCAAGAGGGCATCCTTTTCTGTTTGTGCTGACACCCGTGGGGGCTGCCTGTTGCTTGTAAGATGATGTTCTGCGTGCAGACACATTCTTCAAGTGTGCACCTGTTTACAGTAGGTTTTGGGATTTGGGACATTTGTTGCCTTTTATATGAGCAAAGGAAATTACTGTACAGGGGCTGCACAATACGATGAAAAAGATCATATTACCATTATTTTGAAAGATTTCACAATTAGTGGGAATAATCATTTTTGCATTACAATTTTCATTTTCATTTTTTAAACCATGATGAGATGACATTGGTTGGGATCAGTACCAAACGATCTCAGACTGTGGGTCAGAGATAGTCTCTCCTCTGTCTACTAACACATATACTTGCCATAAAATGCATGGCTGATATCAGAGTGGCTCCTCTAAAATATGAGGCATCTTCAAGACGTACTCAATCTGTATCAAAGTCATCTTGTCCTTGCATGATACAGAACTTAATTTAAACAGCGCAGTGTCTTTAAATTTACATAACTGTTGCTGTTTTTTATCTTCTTACTATCAAATCTTATTAAAAGACCAAAGCCAGCAATAAATCAATCTTTCTGGCAACTATTATTTGTGCATCCACAGCATGATAGAGCTCGTGCCTCTATGTTACAGACAAAAATGACTTAAAAACACCTAGATTTCTTCATCACAGTGAACACAGGCAGGGGAGGTTATTTCTTTGAGCACATAGAAACCACATCCCGAGCATGCTCGACCACATCTGCCTGTCACTGAGATTGTCTCCTGAGATTGACAGTGCACCTGCAGAGTTGTTCCAGAGTAAACTGCACCGATCACGTTCATTGTTATAAAGAGTGTCATTTAGTGCAACAGTTTGTCTATTCCATGTGTTTAAAATAGATTTAAGACAACCTTTGGAAGTCTGTGACACAGCTGCAGTGAATGATGCTGTGGCAGCACAGACAATACTAGTTCATCTGTCTTGGTCTTTCCAGGGGAATTGTTGATAATAGTAATAATAAAGCAATACAATAATAATAATGCAATAACAGTTTAAGTATTTTTGATAAATCTGGGCTAGTTTTGAAGGCTGTAACTGCTTGAAATATCAATTGGTTCATAGGCATTGATCAACAGTAATGCCTCCACAGATCTGTTTGTGTTTTTTTTTCTTTTGAGGCAGTAAAAACCACACTCCCTTTCCTGTAGAGCTGAATTTGTGTCATTTCTCATTATTTCCTGCATGTGCACTTTATTATACCGCCTTGCTTTCCACTTTGTTGTATATGTTAACTTCATGATGTATTGTTTTATTATATTGTTGCAGTCGAGTGGAAACCTTGTACGTCTAAAACTGTTTCAGGAAATAAATAAAAAAACTGTACTTTTCATATAATTGAACACAAAAAAAGACAAAATATGGAGGTACAAGGTTTTTTCCCTACAGCGAAGATATTTTTAGGTTGTCTTTTTATCATCTAGCCAAGGAAAACAGATTTGAGTGTAACTCAGGCTCATGAGCATTGACCCTGACCAATGAACTAAAAAAAAAACATCAATGAATTAATTTGTCTCAGGGGATGTGAGTCCATACTTACATATTCTACAAGTGCATCTCTGCATACTGTTTAACATACTGGTTGCTATCAGTGTCCTTGCAGTGTGCAGGTAGTCGGGCCTTCCCTGAAGCCTCTAGAGCCTCTATATCTCCCCCTCCACTGCTTCTGCTGCTGGTTGTAGTCCTCTGGGAGCCTGGCTCGCTCTGACTAATCCCCAGCATGACTGACAGACAGCCGAGCACCGCTCTTGCCCCAGCCTGTTAGCCTGTAGCCTCCATCCCATGGTCTGCTCTGGCGCATATACTTTTGGGGATTGGATAGAGTTGGAAAACACTCAGTAAAGCCAACATGAGTTGAAATGCTCAAGCTTGGTTGCACAGTTCTCTCAGCTTTAGTCTATATGTGTGGATATGTAGGTGGATGGCTGTGGTGTGTGCAGCTGTCACAAATAAGACCTATGGCGGTAAAGTAAAGCATCTGTGTAGCTTTTTGTGCTTGTTTCATAACCCCTTTCACTAAAATCATACAAGTACCAGTATAGGTGGGCCAGGTCAACCTACAATATTGATCTTTCTCATGAAGATCTTCTTTTTCATTTGAAGTGAGCTATCTTCACTATTTTCTTGTCACATGTTGTTTCTTTTTCTCCTTTGTCAGTCTGTCGTCTACAAAATGTACAACCTCAGATTACTCCCCTATTATGCAGATGACAAAGATGGCTTACTTCTGGATGCCTGGTGCATTTTTCCTGCATTCATTTTAGTCTTTTCACTAGATTCCATATCCCACCTAATCCTATTAAAGTGCAATCTCAGCTTTCAACAGTGTCGTTTGTGTGGAATTTAAGCTGCCAGCTGACCAGCTGTAGTTTCTCATCTTCAGCTCTGTCAAAGCCAATGTCTGGCGCAGTCTTTTACTGTACGTATAAACTGCCATATATTCAATGCCTCCATCTGCTCTTCCTCGACACACCAACAAAAAAGGTTGGATTGTACTTGGGGAAACAACAAGTCCCGGTTCAGCAGACATCTACACCACCAACCCAGGGAGACTGGTGGCAGATTTACTGTTAGGGCTGTAAAAGTGTTTGCCACTTTGTCTCTGTGTGCAAGTTCTTTTTTAGTGGGCAAGGCCTAATTAGAGAAACTAGGTAAAATATTTCAGCCCACATGAAGGGAAACTATAGGAGAGGAAAACACTGTAGTGACTGAGTGATTGTAAATAATGTCACTAGAGTCCCTTCTGTCTGTATTGCAAACAGGTAACCTTCAGCATCTGCCATTGTGCCCTCACATAATAGAAAATCATGAAAAACATGTTAACATGTTAAAATGAGCTATTGTGCAAATTCAGAAAGGCAGATGTTGTTACAGACTGCTGATGACCACAGAGAAGAGAACCATAGTTAATTAATACTCTCTGTTACGTTACTATGGACGACCATAGGTTTCCAGAATAAAAGATGGAATAAAATCATGCCCTTCAGAGTAAAAGCATCATTTCCACAGCAGCATTTAGACTTAATGTGTGCATTAACAATCAAGAAGGAAGTATACAGTGGACACATCAGTCTTAAAGTGTCACCATTGTATAGTGAATGGCATTCTGTGTCATTAGGCGCCTCTAGGTTTTATTTCTCCAGTTACGTACGTTTTGCTTATTCAAAAAGAATTTGAAAATCTCTGCTTTACTCTGAAGGCCAGATGTGCTCATTCCCATTAAATACCAAAATTGTCTTTACAGCAGCAGTCAATCAGTGATGTTTGCCCTAACATGTCGGCCAAAACAATCCTGATCAGACACAGGACCACAGTAATCAGACTCCACTATAAAAACAAAGTGAAGGAACAACACCAGTAGGGCAAGAGTGATGTGACGATGTGAAAAGTCCCACCGGTCACTCATCAGTAGCTCTGACAACATCCCGTCCTGATGGGTCTGTTCCCTCAGGCTGAAGGGGCAGGTGGGGGGAGCAGGTGGAGACCTTCAAGCACCTGGGAAGCAGTCAGCCAGCACCAGTACTTTACAAAGCATGCAGATGGGGACAGACCCAGCAGCATCTATTTCTCCTCAAGTCATTCATCTAGTCTGCTCTCACTTTGAACATCACACCCGGGTACAGCTCTCTTACACTCCAAAGCAGGCCAAATGCTCAAGGTTCATTAATCAAGCTGCCAAAGTAACCAGCATCAACCAGAAGCAAATATCCAGTTGGTCTGATGGAGAACATATTTGACAACGTGTAATGATTTCTGTGACTTCAAGATTCAGATTACTTTTAAGTTTATGCTCTTTCTCTTTCATCCTTCCCCTCTTCCTATGTCTGTCTTCTCTTCCTGGCTCCAGTCTCATAGACCGTATGCTTCAGAGGGATCCCAAGCGACGGGCTTCCCTGGAGGAGATCGAGAGCCATGCCTGGCTGCAGGGGGTCGACCCATCCCCAGCCACCAAGTACAACACTCCCCTGGTGTCCCACAAGAACCTGTCAGAGGAGGAACACAACAGCATCATCCAGCGCATGGTGCTTGGAGACATCGCTGATCGCGAGGCCATAGTCGAGTGAGTTGCGCTATGTTTTGTCTTCATCTGTAATGTACACACTCTGTTATGGACCTCAAAGACGTGCTTTAATTCTTGTGCACAAGGAAGTAATGTTAGTACCCTTGGTTGGCTGTGGACTCTGTAACGTTGCTTGCATATAGGCTTTGTGTTATACCCTGCCTTTCCTCGTTCGTTTTCCTACAATGCAAAGTCTAGAAAAATGTAAAGTACCCAAACCGAACTGCAGATGTTTTTTTTTCATGTCATGCAAGCATGTCTAATTAACGCTCCACAATTAAGAGAGATATCTGAATGAAAATGGATTCTATGGGTATCCTCAAGTCTCCCCACTGCAGACATACCCACTTTATGCAAATCACATGCTATTTTGGGCAACAAACATACAGTTTTTTGCACGTAGTATAAACGTGTTATTTTCACCTAGTGTATTTGAATATTTCGGCATACTGGGCTCTATAAACAATATTGGAATTACATAGATTTGGAATGACTAGAAAGACTTAAACTTCCTGCCACCCCTGTATAAGTCAGTGCCCTACTTGTGCCAGCCCAGTCAAAAAAGTCTGGAAAGGCCCCTGGTTTCAGGTACAACCTAACCCTTCGACACAGTGGTGTTTTCAAGACATTCTGGTTGAGTCCTTCAAATTTAATCAAAGTAAGATTTATCTTTTAAAATCAGCTGCTTTGTTAGACCATTATGACCCTTTGATTTATAAAATGCAGACTTGGAAGGAATCAGCCCTAAATGGAATGCGCAAAATGTGTCTAGCAAGAGCAGTGGAGAAGAAAACAACTGGAATTTGACCTTTTTACTTTACAGTACAGTATACCAGCATCAGTATTTTGTATTTTCAAATCCTTTGTACAAAGTCACTGAACAGGAGATATCTGGTAATTCAACTGTAAATAACGCTCAACCTCACACATTAATCAATGGAAACTAGACCCATAGTCATGCAGCCACATGCAATTACTTTGATAGCAATCACACTGTTCCATTTTTTGCCTCCATAAAAGTCCACCTGTTTCTGTTTCACTTCACTATGCTGACGTGTGAGGAGCCATATAACGCGACACACACTTGTGTGTGTGTGTGTTGCATTATGAAGCATGCTCGCAGAGTTAACTTTAAGAACCGTCTTCAGCCTGCAGCTATGAGAGAAAGCTGGTTGCTGCTACATACTATACTGAGAAAGAGATAGAGATGACAGGATGTTGAAGGAATAAAAAAGAGAACAGCTGTTGATTTCAAAGTCTTGATTTCAAGTTCACACCTTTATGTTCCTGTCGATTTTGTTTCACAGTTCACCTTTATCTTCCTCATTGGAGCTACCTGTGGTGCGATGGAGAAACACACACATGCAGTATACACACCACTTTAAGAGTTTTTGCCTTTGTCTTTCCTTTCATCCTTTCAGAGCTACAAATTCACCATGATATTTCTGCGCACACACTAATGGGGAATGTTTATGCTGACAGACGAGAATACATGTGTGCATCTTCAATAGATCCTGTGATTCACTGTGTAAGCTCATGCGATAGCGATGGGGAGAGATGAACTGTACATCTGAAGCTCACAGTTTTTATGAGCCAGGCTTCCCCACCGAGCATCAATCTTTGATGGATCTGTTGTGTCGCAGTGTGTGCGCCTGATGTTGTGTTACTACAGTTGTGCTTTACCCTACATTCTCTGCTCCTGTCTGGTACTGTAGCTCTTTCATAACATGAAGTGTCACGTAGCAGAGACCATAGCTTAGCTATCATAGACTGCGTAGCACAAAGAGATGCATCTCCAAAGCCTGGGAGGTTTTATTCACTATAGTAGCCAAGGTCAAAACCAACCACATGTTCAAGTATAATGTAACTAATGTAACCCTAAAGCTAAATATTTTCTTCAGATTTGATAATTTGGCCTGCTATGCCATGTTTCTAAAGCCGTATTAAGGTCCATGAGGTGTCAGGTCAGTCTTATGCACTTCAAACAGTATTGGTTTCCACACTGAATTCCCCCAGTAAAACAGAGTCCTATCACACTCACCACTCAGCTTCTCTGAGTTTTCCTTTTGAACAGAAATACTATTTTCATGTAGTTATTTCCAGTTGCTTCCCAATTCACTTTTCAGTTTTTAAAACTATTGTCAGGAATTGTCAGGAAAGGCAGGGATTGTGCTCTTTGAGCTGCTTGAATGCTTTTATCAACACAATGGGTAAACTTGGAAGCGTTGGAGGTGTTGGATTTACATTACCAGCCAATTGCATCAACAGCAAAATAAAAAAAGATTTTTTAAAACAAAAAAAAGGTGTCAAATATAAGCAAATACCTGCTTCTCTCTGCAGTTTAGCTAAATAAAGACCATTAGTTGACAATTTACGATATTCCTCCCATTTCCATTAAAACATTTTTAAATGGTTCAATTTGACAAAAAGTGTTAATATTTAAAAGTCTGGAACATTTGAGAAAACTAGATTCTTAGCAGCACAATTACAAAAGGATCTACAGTTGTAATCTAAGGCACTGTGGCTATTCACCTAACAGTATGGAAGTTACCAGTGCCTTGGGCTACAAGCAAACAAGCACATCGGAGCTCAAAGTGTGACACATACGCAGTGCGTAAATGCTCTCACGCCTCGTGTGTATACAGCTGTTGGCAGCAGTCTTCAGCATTTAATTAGTTTCATTAATATGCAGAGATTAAGCTCTAATCCTACTGGATGCTCAGGGAGTCTGAGAAATGTGCTTCTCTTGATACTCCACAGGTTGTAAGGGGTCACAGAGGTCAGCAGGTCACGCTTCACAATGAAAAGTATTATGGATAGTTTAAAATGGAATAGGTCATATAATTAGGGAATATAGCCTGAGCCTGTCACAAGTGTTAGACTGTGAAATGACTTTGTGTATCTACAGGTCAGTTCTGTACGATCGTTTGTTTCTTTCAGGAAAAAACATGATCACTTTGGCAAATGTATAAATGTAAATGTAATGTTAATTTATTAATTATGAACAAGTACTGTAATTGACAAGCCGTATACCCACACATTATAGTCTCTTTGTGGCGTTGTACAGCAGCACCACTTGTCTTCATATAAATAAAGCATATAAAGCTTGCTATGTTATCGGTATCTCTTACTGAGATTCCGGCGGGGGTCCTGAGGATGCGTGTGGTGAAATAAGGCATTTAGATGAGGTTGTACAGTTAACTTGGGTTGCTGCTAGCAGGTGAGTCTTCCGATTTTTTGTGGTTGTAGAGTGAGAAGTGAGAGTTGGCAAAGTTAGTAACTTTGCCATCTATGGTGGCAAATCATAAAATACTTAATGTTTTGGTGCTGTGATTATTCAATCAGCACCTCCATTTTTATTTATTAGCTGACTTTACTGACTACTATAGGTTAAGCTGAGGGAATTTTGCTGCGCTTAATAGGCTCTAAATTTTCCTTCATTACAGTTGGAGTATTTAATTTTCCCCCACTCATACGAAAGTTTGAAAAGTCACAGCCCTCGTGTGCAGTTAGAACCATCACCACTTTGTCATGTGTGATGGAGTCTGCTGGAATGCAGGTGCAGCTTTGCTAATCTCAATATTATGGTTAGATAGTAGACAGACAAAACCACGTGCCGTGTCTGGCATCACAACCGGTTGGACAAGCCTGACTCTTGACTTGGTAACAACAGTGTTGTGTTATTCTCTTTGGTGGACCCTCAACCACAGCACACGTCTACCACTTTAGCTTCCAGCGTGTGCTTGCCAGAGCTGCTGGAACATGTTCTCCTGTGTGTTGTGGTGTTTGGATTGCTGCAGGGTTTCCACCCTTTTCCTCCATTCCTGAGTCCCAGTGTTATTCTGTGGTAATGTCTTGTGTTGATGTTGCTGAAATAATTCACTTAAATATTTTCACATTTGTTTTGTGTCAAACATGTATTTGATTTGATGTAGAGCTGCAACAATTAATTAATAGATTAGTTGATAAACAGAAGGTTGATAATAATTAATCATTTTTGAAGCCAAAATGCCAAACATTTGTTTGTTCTAGCCAGTGCTCAAAGGGACACAAAGATCCATTTTTTCAGACAGTAGAATAATAATAATAATTAGAAATCAAATTATTATGTTTATGCCTCATGAAATATATATCTTATTTTATTCATTAGCTAACTAAAATTTAAAAACGTGAACTGCACCAGTGCACACAATCATAGAAAGTATTGGAGACTTTCTCACTAAATAACTTAGCTACTTATTAAGACCACCAGGGAAAAGGGGAGAAGTATATTCAAATATATTATATTGTAATTCATTCCCAAGCATGCTCCTCAGAGTAATCACAGTCCACAGCTCTTCTGCCAGTAGGCTGGGGTCTCTCCCTCTCTCCTCTTGGGCAATTGTGGGAAAATTATAACATCAATATACAGTCATTTTTGACTATTTTCTTCACTATTATCTTATAGACAAAACCGTTAATCACTTAATTGGGAAAATAACTGGCATATTAATCGATAATGAAATGATTTGTTAGTTGCAGTTCTAGACAGATGTAGAAATCTTCTAATTCAACCACTCATAACTACATTTGTCTTGTATCATGGTGTTGCAGGGTTCCCATGCGTCCCGGAATACATGGAAAACTGAGACTAATTTTCCAGGCATGGAAACACCTAAAAATTTATTAAACTGTTCTCCTTCACACTATTCATCTCCATGTCTTGCTATATATACAATATGTTTTCCATTTGTACATGTCCCTAATGTTACTGTTGTTGTTGTTGTTGTTGTTACAGAGCCCTGGAGACCAACAAATACAACCACATCACAGCCACATACTACCTGCTGGCAGAGAGGATCCTGAGGGAGAAGCAGGAGAAGGAGGTCCAGACCCGCTCCTCCAGCCCCAGCAACATCAAGGCACAGTTCAGGTAAAGAATGGACCAATCCTGTCAGAGCAGTCAGAGCACTAACAAGAGGCAGTGACACAGCAAGCATGAAAACATTAGCCTTTTAGCGTCTGTTTAATCTAAAAGAGCGACCTTTCCCATGCTGTGGCCTGTGCAGAATTCTTTATTTATTTTTTTATTATAACGAACTAGTGAAGAGCGTGAGTAAGAAATATCACTGCTCATCACCATAATGACTATCTGAGTCACAGTATGAGTGGAGAAGAGGGTAATTGACCTATCTCGCACCACCGCCTCACACTGCAGCCTGTCTGGCTCCGCTCTGCAGAGCCCAGCCGCAGTTACTTAAGACCGGCTTACATCTCCAAAGGTTTCATTTCCATTTCTGGGTTCACTGGGCCTCCACCTGCTGGGCTCTGGGGAGGTGGAGCAGAGGAAACAGTTTGAACTATCAACAGAGTCTTCGCAGTGTTTTTAAATCTGGCCGTTAGTCTCTTTGATTTTCCATCATTATTCTAACTCGCTGTAATGTTTTACATTCTTCCCGTTTACTAGTGACGCTAGCGCTGAAAGTTTGCCTCCAGTCTGTCATCATGTTAGTAAAAACTGAGAAAATATATCTGCGTTAATCCCTTTAGCTGCCTTAAGTATTTCCTCTTTGCTTCCTTGCCAACATTGTTCCTCTTAAAAGGAAGAGGAGAGCTGGATGGTGCACAGTTATAAAAGGAAGAGCAACAGAGGAGAGGAACAAATAAGGAAGAGAGTATTGAGGAGGCTTCAGCAGGGACAGCTGTGGCTGTGAAACACTGGCACGGCTCCCTCCACTTTCCTCTCTCTGCTCTACAGTGGGTGCTTTAAGTCGAAGACATCCTTTAATAAGCCCATTTAAAGCATAAAGGCAGCCATTTTTATTTTTGCAGCCTCTCCACTGAAAAATGGAAGGGCTTGAGGGTTAAGTTGGGTTATAGAGATATTAAAGAGTACTCACTGATGACAACATAAGTGCTCCTCATCTCAGATACTAGACAATACTTAAGAGGAAACACGAGTCATTACATTTTCCACAGACGGTGCGTGCATAGCAACAGTGACCTGCACAAACACTGGAAGTCAGCTGTCTGTAGGCCTCTGTGGCGGCTGCCTGCATCGGTCTGTGTCATCAGACTGTTCCTGATGTCTAAAGAATTGAGGGGTGTGATTATGGCCGCCTCCTCCTCTGTCCTCGTGCTTTACAAAGTGCTTGATATGATGGTTCCCTCAGCGGTGGAGCAGTAGCCTGGCTGCCGGGTGTTACTGAGCTCTGGCGAAATCAATGTTTAGCCTCCTGCGCTGTGATCCCTGTCCACAAGATAGTGAGTAATGTGTTTAAGGGAGACCTCTGCTGATTGGCTCAGACTGACCCACAAACCAGGGGCTGTTCCACTGCCAGGCACACGCACGCACACACAAAAAAATCAGTTAGCGATCTTAAACACAAGTTGTGTCTCTCACTGTGGGCAAGCCCCTGTCAGATTCTACTAGATATAGAATACAATTGTGTGTTTGTATGTGTGTGTGTGAGTGTGTATGTGTGTAAGGCCATGTCCAAGATAATTATCTTTTCCTCTCTATTTTGGCATTCAGTCCACACAAAACTTGAATTTATTTCATTTTTAATCCTTGTTTTCAGTTCAGTTTAGTTTCAATTAGTTTTCAGAGTGGGTTTGCAAATATCCTGGAAATAATCTATGTTGCCCTGAGCCCCTCAGATTGCCTACATAAACCTGGGTTTGAAGAAAACTAGTCAAAACAGAGATGCTACAGAAAAACTGTCTGTGAGAACAGTGGGAAGTGAGCTAATGCAGTGTCCGATATATACTAACCATAAAGCTGTAATGAACCTGAGACACATCATCATAAACCCTGCATCATTAAAAAAGGAAGAATAAAACTGGGAAAAATGTGTCAATACGAGGCATACTGGTATATTTGTGAGAAAGTGCTGTCCTGTATTGTCAAGAAAAGTTTTTGTTTAGTTTTTATTACTTTCATTAGTTTATTTTCTTATAACCACCAAGGCCTCCTCATGCTTGTTGTGTGGACAGATTTGACCAAATTGACAAGGACCAAAACTAAAAACATTTCCTGTATCTTTTTATCGTATTTTAGTTTGTTTTAGTGCACAAGTACATAATGTAATTTCAGTTTGTTTTGGTTTTCGTCTAGTGTTTACTTTTACGTGAGTCAAATAAAATAATTTTTCACACCTAGATTTAGTTTTAGTGAATTATAATAACCTTGCTACAGGGTTTAACATGTACTCTGTCACTGTAGACAAGCACACACAGCACAGGTGTTACCATTCATTTCCACTCATGTTTAAGTTGCCAAATGGCTTTGTAACATAGAAGATGCAACTGAACTGCAACTTTTTTATTTAATGATGGAAAGATAGATTTAATAGATAAAATTAGTATTAATTAGTTAAGTTTAGGCATTTCAGTACAAACTGTAAGTGTAAATGCATCAGTCTCTTCTCAGATGTGTCCGTCTTAATGTGGATGTAATCTTAGATGTGTGCCTGTGTTCGTAAGACGCGCTCTCCATGCTGATGTGAGCTTGAGTCAGTGACGGTGCATTCATGGTCATGCTAACAGCGATGCCCTTGGTGTGATTGATTGTTTACTGACTGTGCGCTGTCAGGGGATCGCTCAGTCTCACTGTTTGTTTCCTGTCAACACGAACCTTCCAGGAAAGAGCGGAACTGTTTGTTTTCAGTATATACATTAGTTAATTCAACAGTAACATTGATCTAATACACATTACTTACACTTATAGACTTCATACAGATACTTATTTCAGTAGGATTATCAGTCCTATAGTTCTCTAAATGTCTGCAGAGTCTTATAAATATTTAATGTGATGCCGTTATGATGCATGCTTTTCAATACTGAGACCAAAACCAAAACACTCAATATCTTACTGTGCTGAACATACACAAGTTTTATTCTACAACAATGCTGAATACAAATGTATGTTTTAACACAAAAATAAAGCATAATACTTGTATATATTCAACATATGTTTACGTTAAATAGCTCAATAAATCTGTCAGGCCAATATATTGTATTGGTAGCTCTATGCAGATACAGTGCCTCAGTCATTGTATATAAGCACCAAGAAATTGCAGATATGCCAAAGATATGTTTATTTAGAAACAGTGTCTCCATTATAGGGCTGCAACTAACGTTTAATAATTTCATTATCAATTAATTGGTTCATCATTTTCTCCATTAATTGATTGGATGTTTGGTTCTTAAAATGTCAGAAAATGGTGAAAAAAATGTTTCTCAAAGCCCATGTCTTGTTTTCGCCCAAAGATGTTCATTTATGACTAAAAATACCAGAAAATGTTCACATTTGAGAAGCTGAAAATAGATCATTTGGATATTTTTTCTTAAAAAATGATTAGAAAACGGAGCGCTCTGGTGGCTCAGCTGGTAGAGCTGGTGCCCCCGTACCAAGGCTGAGTCCCGACTGCAGCAGCCATGAGTTTGACTCCTCCCCACCCTTACTTGTCACTCTTCAGCTGTCACTATCAATTAAAGGACCCCCCGATTTAAAATAGTTAACCAAATGAATTGACTGATTAATTAATCGGCTAATCGTTTGCAGCTCCACTCCATTACATACTTTCAGTCAGTACATTGCTCACAAACAGCCATCTGTCAAATATTGATATAATTGTTGGTGTCAGATATCAATATCATTTGGGCTCTAACGAAACAAATAATCCAAACAAAGAATAAGTAAACAGGGCTGAGGCTGTGACCAAACAACCTGCAGTATAAAACCCACATATCTTTCATTCTCATTACAATAGGATTAAGCGAGTATCCGATACAGAAAATGTACTTTTAAGTGAGGCTTTCAGTGTCATCAGAGTAAAATCTGCCAGTATCCGTACTCATGAATATAGCAACTGTTCCTTTAAAAAGAAACTTGTTCTGTAAATAGTTCTTTTACTCTTGTGATCAAGAGCTTTGCTCTGAAGCTCTGTTCAGAGGCAGTTCTGTAAATAGTTTTCAAATATATATAGCAACTTCTAATCAGTCTATTTCAGATAATGGTGTGCTCACTCGTCAATACAGTACAGCCACTTTCCCCCAGGAGGCGTACCCCAGCACTGACCCTGCTCTCCCCTCATTAGAGAGCCACCACGGACCCAGCAGTTAATCAACATTAATTAAAAACCAACAAATACACTGTAGGTGGTTAATGGTAACCATGGTAACTGTCTCCACCACAAGAAGGGTCCTGTTACCTGTGTGAAAGGTGGTTCAAACTGTGAGTCACAGAGTGGGATATACTGTATATATAGTTATGTAATGAGCGATGACACACTTTGTGAAATATAGTGTGAGTGTTGTTTAGAGAAATATAAATAATATCTGTCAGCTGCTGCCTGTCAGCACACAGGACGACACTGTCTCCTGCATTAGCTCAACTGTAATGATATTCAGCTTTACAGCGGCTGACATTCACAGCTCTCTCCCTCCCTTGTGGCGCTGACTAATCGGCTTTACAAACTCCGTTCCTCCTTTCTTCCAGGTCTAGGCCGGCTGTGTTTAATTGGTGCATCATTCACTGTCAGTGAATGGAGGGGCTGTGACAATGAAAACAGATACAGAGTGTGGCCTTTCACTGCTATAAGACAATGACAAACACTGAATAGAAAGACGTGCAGCATGGACATAAATGACCCATAAACAGAATCAGTGCTGTTGGGCTGAGTAGACGAGGATGCCTGATTTCCATTAAACAAAGTAGAGTGCAGTGATGACACATTTTATTTTACAGAGGATGTAGATTTATTCATCCCACTTGGGTCAGAAAGACTGTAGTATCACATTTTCATATTTCAGTGGAACAATTTATATACAGCACCTTTGAAGTCGTGTGTAATCTCCCTCTCCTCTCTGCTCCCTTGCAAATTGTCTATATTTGTCTGCATAATCTACCATATATGATTATAATATTGACTAGCTGATAACTTTGCAGGGTAACATGAAAAGGGAAGAAAATGACAATAAATCTTGTGTTTAGTTTCCTGCCAAAGCAAATAAAGGACTTTTAGTGGATTTGAAGTTGAGTCCCCTCTGTTTGTCTCTGCAGGCAGTCCTGGCCCACCAGAGTTGACATGCACCAGGACATAGAGGACAGCCTGGCAGCGTCCTCTATCTCCCATGCTGGGGGGCCCCAGTCCCCAGCCCGCAGCGCAGAGAACCTGCTCAACGGACATCGCTCCAAAGGCCTGATGGACCTGGGCAGACGAGAGGAAACGGTGATGGACTCTGCAGGACTGTCAGCACAGGTACGCTCACCTTCAGCACACACTGTTGGACTTTCTAAGAAGTGCATTCATGTATGATTTTGAGTTTCTGCTGTTGAATGGACACTACTGCAGTGGGTAACTTTATAAAAAAACAGTTTGTCATATTGTCTGAAACTGTCACTATATGCTGACAGTCCTACATGAGACAGATAACCTGTGAAAACACACAGCTTCCTCTGGCTCCTAGTGCACTGGGCCTGAATGACAACAACCAATCAGAGCTGAGAAAGATCGTTGATTGTTGAGTCTCATTCTCAGCCTCACTCATAGGAGGAGCCAGAAGAATCTGTGTCATGTTCTACTCTCAGGATATGGTGAAAGTTTCAGCAAATATGGCAAAAAGTATTTTTTTTATAAAAGTGACCTACTTCTCATTTATTCTAATGCATGTGGCTGGTCTTTTTTTCTCCCCCCTTCTCATTCCAGGGTGCCTGTGCTGCTGCCTCAGGGGCCGCTTCTGGTTCTGGGACCATCAGGGCCCCTGCACCATCCACCTCAGCCGCAGCCAAGCAGCGAACCTGCCTGTTCAGGTGTGACAAATTTGTATTCAGTTTTCAGAAGTCGTCTGTTATTTAAAAAAAAATGCACATTCATTATCACTGAATGAAAACGGAAGTAAAGGACAGACTAGGTATCAAAAATAAATTACCTATTTTAATAATAATCAGTAATTTGCAAACTGATTATTTTGGACAAATGCCCAAAAGTTCCAGCTTCATAAATGTAAAAATGAAACTTTCCTCAGTTTGATGTCATTGTAAAGGGAATACCTTTGTGCTTTTGTTATTCAGACGGAAGACATTTGAGTCATCCCATTGGGTCCATAGAAACCATGATTGTTTCTTGTCATTTTATAAACCAATCAATCAATCGCTTAATCAAGAAATAATAGGAAGATGAATTGATACTGTAACAGTGGTTAGTTGCTGCCCTGCTGAAATACTCCCGCATGGTGTTGCTTTGTGTTCCTGATGTCTTGATGTCCCTTCAGGGTGGAGGAGGATGAGGAGGAGGAGGAAGAGCAGGATCCGTCTCCCCTCCCGACCCAGGTGATCCTGCGCCGTAAGCCGCCTTCCATCACCAACCGCATCACCTCCAGGAAGAGCGCCCCGGTGCTCAACCAGATCTTCGAGGAGGAGGGGGAGTCGGACGACGACTTCGACATGGACGAGGGCCTGCCGCCCAAACTCAGCCGCCTCAAGATGAACATGGCCGGAAACGCGGCCAACCTGAGCTCCGGGGCCGGCTCCTCCTCGTCCCCGGGGTCCACGCAGAAGCGCTACCACCGGCGCAAGAGCCAGGGGAGGGGGTCGTCGTGTTCGAGCTCGGAGACGAGCGACGACGACTCAGAGAGCCACCGGAGGCGGCTGGATAAAGACTCGGGCTTCGGTTACGGCTGGAACAGAAGGG